CCTAGGCAGAAAACCCTAGCGCATCCCGTGGCCGGAACAAACACAAATTTTATCGGATCAGACTAAAAGACTGACATTTAATTCAACATACTGAAAATTTATAAATCAATCCCTATAATTTAACAAATGGATTCGAACGAGTCTAACCCATTTTGTTGATTTTGTTTGACACATATTTATTGGTATTCTCTCAAATATAATTAGTCAATATTTTTTTTAAATATAATTATAAAAAATTCAAAGGATGATAAATACATTATTAAATCTTCTTATTAATTTATATATCAAAATGGTTCGTATAATTTTCTCACTTGTACCATTTATTTATATAAAATCGCTTAACCATATTTTTATTTAGATTGAGTTTGAAAAACTTTTTTTTAAAAGACCTTGTAGTATAGATAATCACTATAATCTCTTTTCATTATAATAATTATGTTATGAAGTATTGATGAAACTTTGTCAATAACTAATATATGAAAAACGTGACCATCTTTATTAATCTCACTTTTCGGTATGGTTATTCCTCTTCTTTATATATTCTGTTTTTTTTTTTCCAGTCATGCCTCTCTCTAAGCTGAATATATTTTCATTTGTAGAGGTATCTTTTAGTTTTAGTGTTTTACCCTTCTTTAACTCAAAACAACTGTTATTATTTTCTTTGAAAGGCTAGGTAAACTAAAACCAAATCTAACTCCTGACATGAACAATTATTGACAGTTATGGTTTCTAACTCCCACACTTCACCTCTTAACTTCATCCACCAACATAATCAACGGCCAATATAACAAACTTGCCCAACCCCCAAGAATTATTCTCTATATAACCCCATGTTACAAGCACAACTACACGCAACAACAAATCGATCCTATAGCAATACACTACTAAATCAACATTTGAACATGAACATTTTTTTCACGTTTCTTTTAGTCGTTACCTTAACATGTTTCTACATTCCAGAGTTGAAGCCTCGTCCTGCAATCATAACCGCATGTTGCATGGCCATGACGCTAGTGTACCACTTCCTAAGGAGCAGACCCAACAAAGTTTACTTGGTGGACTTTGCGTGCTTCAAACCAAGCATGGCGTGCCTTTGCTCCAAGGACACGTTGCTGGACCGAGCCAAGCGTGTGGGGTTTCTCACAGATGAGAACTTCAAACTCGTGACCAAGATTCTAGATAGGTACGTATGCTGTGCCAAGTGCACGTTTCCAAAAAAAATTATTTATAAATATGTATACATTTTTTAAATATTTTTCACTCTCTAATTTTATGTATTTTGAACTCACAATTATAATTTTTTACTCATTACAAATAAGAATTTTATATTTTTATGCTTTATCCATCTTAATTTTATATATTTGAACTCATTATATTACATTTAACTTTGTACTGATTCTGGGTTCTAAGGTCTGGTTTGGGACCGTGGACTTATGTCCCTGAGGGATTGTTGGAGATCCCACCGAAGTTAACGTTAGATGAGGCGAGGAAGGAAACGGACACGGTGCTTTTTGGGGCTGTGGATGAGCTTTTGGAGAAAACTGGTGTTGAAGCCAAGGACATAGGGATTCTTGTGGTCAACTGTTGCTTGTTCAACCCCACTCCGTCGCTCTCTGACACCATTGTGAACCGCTACAAGCTTAGAGGGAACATTTTGGCCTATAATCTAAGTGGCATGGGGTGCAGTGCTGGTGTTCTTGCTGTCGACTTTGCCAAACAGCTCCTACAGGTTCTCTCTCATTCTGCTAATTATTTCCTTGCATCTGGCTGTGTTTATTTTACTACAAATTATTAGATAGTCTAGACAGTAGTTTTATGACCCCCAACCAATCTTAAAAAAAAAAAAAAAAAATTAATAACGCTTAATTATATATCATATAAAATTTAGTTAAAAATTATGGTACTCAGAATTATCTAATTATTTATCCTATTTCACAGATCTATCTTTTATGAAAAAGATTTTAGATGTATCTTGAAGTATGTATGTTGTTCGTATTAACATTTCCTACAATATTTTATATCTCATTTTATATTCATGTATCATTGCTTGTACTATTTCTGCAATTTAACTGTTGTCTTCGCTGTAAAAATAAATTGAAAAATGCTAACATATATTATTTCATTTTAGGATATGACAGTAGAAAGAAAGAAAGAAAAAAAAAGAGAAATTGATATATATGTAAAAATGATAGAATAAAAAATAATGAAAAATAAAAAAGAAGATAAACTAGTTGCATATGAATAACAATCCAAAAAAGCTGTGGACATTTATTGAAGAAATTTAATTTCTTGTCCTGGAACATTCATCAACGATGGGTATCTTACAAGATTTGTACGTAAAACTATCACAGCTTGTTTCGATTTGATATAGGTGTTGCGAGTCATATAAAAATTATTATAATATCCTGCGTGGCACTTGCGCATTAAGAACACTGCGATACTTTCGCATCACTACGATAATGATGAAATTTTCATTTTTTATATCTCATTTTTCTAAAATCTTTTCCATGTTTTTTAAAACTATATGATTAATTAATTACATCTCTCACTCCCCTCCCCTCCTCTTTGTATCTCTCTTTTCTTTTCCCATCAATGTGAGAAAATCATCATAATACTTCTTATATAGTAGTATATAAATGCCAGATTTTTCATTTGGTAATTGATATATACATATACCGGATTTGATATTTCGGTCATTGTACTGATTTAAACCATTGTTATTATAGTAATAGTTAAGTGTAGCTAATGTAGAATTTTGCAAGTAAATGTTTGAAATATAAGGATAAGTACCCTGTGAATTTTACTTTCAAATATAATGCTTGGTCAGAAGTTTAAAATGAACTAATAGATAAAATATCCATTCAAACTATTCATTGAGTATATCAATATTATTGGGCGGATAATTAAATAATTATAAAGGAAGAAAATAAAATTCTGCCTTTTTTAATAAAGTTATAGATTCATTCTTTGTTTATATGTGAGTAAAGAAAAATTATATAAATATAATATGAAAGCAAAAAATAAAAATAAAAATGCAAGTTGTTAAAATATTCATGTTTCATTAGTAGTTTTGTATGATGAGATAAAGTGGTTGGATCGCCATTTACCAAAGGACCCACTTTTGTTGTGCAAAATGTCAGAAACAGACAAAAAGAAAAAGGAAGAGTGAAAAAATTAATGTGATAATTAATATAATAAAAGAGAGAAATAAAAAATAAAGGAAAAAGAACAATAAATATATATATATAATAAATTAATAATAATAATAATAATAATTGAGGTATAACATTTAAACACACAAATTACAAATACGCACTACTAGATTTTAATTCTTTAACAACATTTTCTTGTTTATATTTGTTAAAATGTTATTAAATATTAAACAAATAGATTATTTTGTAACACTTTTTTAAAAAATGTCATTATAGATAGAGTAACATTTTTATTTTAATATTATTTTTTTTAATTATTTTCAAAATAAAAGTCTCATATCGAGTAAAAAAGTTTTACATAGGTTATTTTGTAACATTTTTTTTTGAAAAATATTACTATAATTGTTTTTAAAACCAAAGTCTCATATCAAGTAAAAAAAAGTATATTTCTCTTATCTTTAATTATTATTCATAATTAAAGTTCCACATCGAATAGGTTAATGACTCATAAAGAGCATATATAACTATATAGTTATACTTAAGATAAATGAAATTTGATATTTTATATATAATTAGTGGTAACTAATTAAGAATGTCTTTCCCTAAAAGGTAACTAAGAATAAACTTTGATATTTGATATATAATTAGTAGTGACTAATTAAGAATGTCTTTAATCTTCTCTTAAAGAATTCTTAGGAACTTAAGAAACATAAAAAATATAATAAATGAGATTAATATCTAAATTAAAATTAATTATTATTTGTTAAAGTTAACAAAAACTCAGCAATATTATTAAAATGTTACAAAAATACTACTTTGATAACATTTTAAAAATATTGTCTAATTGTATAAAAAATATTATTAAAAATATTTAACAACATAAATTATATACAAGATTTGATAATATATTATTAAAGTAAATTAGTAATATTTATACATAATTAAGTAATATTTTTTAAATATTATTAAAATTTATTTATGTTGGAGTGACGTAAGTGATATTTCTTATTGTTTTTCTCTTTTAGTCACATCACAATATCAACTCTATTTTTATGAAAAATATTTTGTAATAAAACTATTAAGTCTATAAGAACTGTGCGGCACCTGTGTGCATTAAAGATTGCGATAGTTCCGTATCACACGTCACCATAATTATGAGATTTTCATATTCTTTCCATCTCGTTTTTCTCAGGCAAAAATAATTCTATTTAAACTCACGTAAGCAAGAGACGTGCCAAGGATAGTTGGCTACATAAAATACAAAATGAATAAGGTTTGTAAAAGACAATAAAGTGCTACCCACCCCTTACCCAATCAAAAAATTATTTTAAAATTTGTACCTTGAACATTTATTACCCACGTGAGCCCATTTAACATATAATAATATATTTTATGGCCAATATTTTTCTCCCTGTTTATATCTATTATCGTACACTACATTTCAAAAGCATATCATTACGTGAAAAATAATATCTCAAACATAAAATTCAACACATTAATATTTCAATTTTCAGGTCAAATTTTAGAGATGTAAAAGCTAGTTATTCTAACTTTATACATCTCATCCACGTCAATATACGTGTATTCAAGTATATATTACATTTCTCATTTTTTTTTCATCTCTTTTTATTTCTCTCCTCTCTTCTTTTATCATTCCCACAACAAATTGTTTCTCTCCTCTCTTCTTTTATCATTCCCACAACAAATCATTGTTGCTTACGTGCACGGCATGAACCAAAACATAAATTTTAATGTGAAAAAAAGTAATGAAAAATTACAAGAATAAATTTCCATGCATAACTTGAAAAACATATTTGTAATATTTTTATAGTGTTTTGTGTTCTAACACCTGCATGGGTGGGGGTTTCGCACTTATCATGCGACAAATAAATTGTCTCTGGATGAACCATTTATTACCAAGGGAGACCCACTTACTTTTATTGAAAATAGGTAACGTCCACGGGATATGACTTGAAAGTGGATGGGCCCATATATAGGAGACAGATGTATATGATTGATGTAATTATTGATGTAATAATTGATGCAATATATAAAAAAGAGAAAAATAACATTAAAATGACGTGAAAAAGGATGAAAGTTAAAATAAAGTCTATTAATACTATTAACCTGACTTTTATGAAAAATTATCTTTGTATAATAAAATATACAAAAAATATATATATATATATTTAATTATGAGAGAGATAACAGGAAAGAAGAGAGGGGAAAGTACACAAAATAATGTAATATCAAAAAAAGAAAAAAAAGTAGAGCAAACATTGTTAATCAACTAGATTTTTATTTTTCCTTAAAATAATTATATCGTTTTAAATGACTTTAATTCTCTTAGAAAAGAGATTTTTTTTTAAAGTAAGTAATTGATCTATGATGGACAACAAATGTGACAAGAAGATAAAATAAACACTAATTAATAAAATGTCAATGAAGTGTTTCAATTATTTAGTTATCCAAAAATATTATTCATTTTTTAATTATTTTTCTCTCTAAGAGTTTGCTTAAGTAAAATTTTTTTATAATAATCTCTACGAGAGAAAAATGAAATAAATTTTTCATAACTCAAAAAACTTAGTTTAAATAAAATTTAATCTATATAAATTATCTTCTATTTTCTTCTCTAAAATAGTACTTCATGGATAAATTATTTTTAACTTATTCCATTTTAAACTTTTGAAGAGCTAGCTCTAAATTCTTAATAGCATTTGGAGTGTAGAAAAATATGTTTCCTTAGTATTTCATGTGTTTGGTGCAAATTATTTGGTTTTGAGTGTGTTTCCTTAATATTTCATGTGTCTTAATAGCCCTAGTATTACTCTTGTAGGCACACCCGAACTCATACGCTTTGGTGCTGAGCACAGAGAACGAAATCTCAAGTATGTACTGGGGCAACCAACCTTCAATGCTGCTCGTGAACTGCCTCTTCCGCATGGGTGGCTCCGCCGCGCTCTTGTCGAGCCACCCCTCCGACCGCAACCGCTCCAAGTACGAGCTTGTCCACACGCTGCGCACCCACGTGGGCGCCGACGACAACAGCTACAAGTGCGTTTTCCAGGAAGAAGACGACGAGTGCAAAGTCGGCGTTTCGCTCTCAAAGGAGCTCATGAACGTCGCCAGGGACGCCCTCAAGGTCCACATCACCTCCCTCGGCCCCGTTGTCCTCCCCATCTCGGAGAAACTCAAGTTCTTGGTCAACCTTATTGAGAGGAAGGTTCTCAAGACCAAGTTTGAGTCTTATGTGCCAAACTTCAAGCTCGCTTTCAACCACTTCTGCATCCACACGGGAGGACGGGCTGTGTTGGACCGGATGCAGAAGAGTCTCGAGCTTGAAGATTGGCACATGGAGCCTTCCAGGATGACGTTGTACCGATTTGGTAACACGTCATCCAGTTCCGTGTGGTATGAGTTGGCTTATTGTGAAGCCAAAGGGAGGGTGAGAAAGGGTGATAGGGTTTGGCAAATGGCCTTTGGGTCTGGGTTCAAGTGTAACACCGCTGTGTGGGTTGCGTTGACTAACGTTGAACCTGAGTCCAACAAAAGTCCGTGGAGGGATGAGATACGCAATTTTCCTGTTAAGATTGATCCACTCCCTGTCAAGAGTAACAAATGATCCAATTGGGAGAATTTATGGTTTTGGATTTGGATTCTACGTTATTGTTTTTAAATTTGGTTACTTATTATGTGTGTTATGACGTTAAGGGAAGAATTATATATGTACCATGTTTCTATAGCTTTAATAGATTATGTATTAAGTTACAATATTTAACCTTTGCAGTACTCTTTCTCTCCCGGCATACTTTGGATCTGTTTGGTTTGTGAAAGGCAGTGGAAATAATGTGGAGACTAAAAAATCCAGTTGCCACTTTAATCAACACTCATCTTTCATTATATGATTTTTTTATTTATTTAATAATTTATCATAAATGATAATTTAATTTGTAATTGGATAAAAATGTAAAAATATTTTTATACTTCCGGTGCATCACCTATTTTTTCAATAAAAATTGTAGATTATTTAGTTAAAAGAGATAGTGGGAAAAAACAAAATCATGTTCGTGTTACAAAAACAAATTTCCACGCAGACTAATTAAACCTACTAAAGAATTTGGAAATACGTGAGGCACTAGTATCAATTGAAAACAAAAATTAAAGATTTAATTGGCTAAAATATATCTTTATTTTCTTATATTTTCTCTACTTAAGTCAGACACTTATATTTTAGCCTTTTTTTATCTATTACTTTTATTTTATTTTATTTTTCTATTTCTTACATTTATCTTCTTATTACCGAACACGTCATTGATGTTCCTAGCTTTAATTTTGTATGATTTCTTTTTTGTTTTTATTAGTTTATGAATGAATGATAAAGCAAAGTGAGAAGAAGAAAAACAAATAAAAATACCATGCTAATGAAAATTTGTTGTGTGAAGCATTATCATCCAAACCGATAGTAAAAATGGGGAACCTTCATGTGACTTGTACTTGGGCTCCGCTAGGTAACTTGGTGCGCTCTCTCTTCAGCTTTTCCTTGACAGTTAGCCCAACCCATTCTCTGCTATATAATGCAGAATAGGCTCATGATATATAACCTTTTTATTATAAGTACACCTTTTTTTATTTTTAAAATATCTTTAATTTTTTATGCTGTATTTTTTTTAATTTTATTTATTTATTATTTAATTTATAATTTTATCCTTACTTTTTTAGGCTTATGATATTTTAAGAATTTATTTTTATTAAATAAAAAAGAAAAGAAAGTTTATTTAAGAT